ATGAATTTTAAATAGGGACTCATTAAATCTAATATAACTACACTGGCTAATTATTACTTGTCAGATAACAGAGGATAATAATGGTTAAGTGGAAGTTTCTCCTTTTTAAAATGAAATGGTAAAAAGACTGATGGAACAATTTACTCAGAATTCTATCTCAATTTAAAATTCTCAAATGCTGATCATTTGAGGGTATAATTTGTGTATTTATTTTTAAAGTTACAGTGTCAAGATTAAAGATTATTGTAACCCAAACGTTTTGCATAAATGAATGCATTTTTTTCTGATTTTATTCTTACATCGTTTTCCTTTGCCACTTGCTTGTTCTATTAAGAAGGAGATAGCGCTGTATTGTTAATTCAATAATAATCCTAAAACACTAAAGCGAATTTTAACAAGATTTTAATTCTTGCTTTCGTAGACATTAGACACATTTTGCAGAAATATCCAGGTTCTCATTGAGCCCTCCTTCCATATGAGGCATTTTTCGTTTTAGCTTTCATTTTTTAATAGTAAGTTTTAACCTTTAATATGTGGGTATAAAATATAAGGAGAGACTTTTCCAAAATATTTTGAAAGTTTCTAAAAACATTTTATAACAGAGCTGTCCAAATTATGGACATTTATTAATACATTTTCCCCCATTTCTATTAAATTTAGTTCTGAAAGAGGAGTTAGAGTGGCACCTGTCTTGGAAGTCAGGAGATGTGAGTTCTTATCTCCGTCCTCGACTAATTAGATGCACGCGGCTGTGGGCCATTCGTTTGTCCTCTCTGGTTCTTATTATCTGGAAGGTGTTCTTTCAGATGATTTCTTAAAGACTTTTTCAGTTCTAAAATCCTACATTTCTATGAAGTAAGTTTTGCAGCAGTTGTGCAGTTTATTTTAGATTTATGAAGGTTTACTTTCTGTATACGCATGTGAGTATGTATACGTTTGGTTCTTTCTTTAGTTGTCCAAATACATGTTGGAAGTTTTTGTGTGCGTTTTATGGTAGATGTTGGAGATACATCAGTGAATTAGATAGTCATGGACCTTGCCCTCATGTAGCATAATGTTCAATGAAGAAGAATAGAATTAAACAACTATTACATGATTTTTTTTATCAAGTTATGATATGAAACTAGGAATACTGGGCAGCAGAATGAGAGGAGTAGTGGAAAACAGGTTACTTGAGTTATGGATTAATAAAGAGAATGGCATATGCAGAGGCCTTACATGAACATCCTGGTATGTTGTAAGAATTACGAGAAGGGAGAGTATCAGTGTGAGTAACATGTAAGGGGACAGTGAGGTTGGGGCTGTCTGATCATATAGGGATTGGTAGGCCATGTAAGGATTTTGGTTTCAATGCTGGTATTACTCACTCTAATTATGTCCTTGGTATTACAACCCAATAGATGTTAATACTTGTGAAAGACTTATTTTTTTTATTAGGGAAAGATTTTCTGTCAATCACTACATTATCAATGCCAACAGGTCCTTAGTTTCTCCCTGTATTCTCTTGCCTTTTAATGAAGTTTTTAAATATTATAAACTATTAAAATTTGTAAGGTCAATATAGAAAAATCATCTAATGTTTTTAAAGTCAGATAAGGGTTTTTCATTTTGGATTATTAAATGCTTCTTATTTTCTATGCCAATTTTCTGTCTCATTGAGTATAAAGACTTGAGAACTTTAAATATACTATTTTTGTGGTTTACATTTTTGTTACTTGCCTATCAAAAGTTTTAGGTCCATAGCAAAATTGAGAGAAAGGTACAGAAATTTCCACATGCTCCCTTCTCCCCCTCATGCCTAGCCTTCTCCTTTACCAACATTCCTGCGACAGTGGTACATTTTTAAAATTACTGAACGAACAATGACAGCGTTGTCACCCGAAGACCATAGTTTACATCTGAATTCACTCTGGGCAGTTTACATTCTGTGGGTTTAGACAAACATGTAATAGCATGTATCTGTTAACGTCATATTTCGCAAAGTATTGTCACTGTCTTAAATCTTTTGTGCTCTCTGCCTTTTCATCCCTTTATCCCTCTAACACGTGTCAAACATGAATCGTGTCATTCTTTCCGTACTATATTTCCTTTTCTAGAATGTCATATCATAGTTGGAATCATACAGTATGTAGCTTTTTTTTTTGCCTTTTATGTTAATTATTGATTTTGAGTAGTAACTTCTTTATGTAAGAAGACCTATAGATATTTCATTCTTCTCTGAGACTATTTTGCAGATATATTCCTCTTGGTTGAAGGAAGCAGGGGATTGTTTAATCACAAGGGCTCACTCTTTGTAAGGTGTTTTGATAGATTTGTACAAACACAAAAGGAAAATCACCCATTTGCTAATATCTAAGGATATCTTTGAGTTAGTTCAAATTTAGCTATGTGGAATGTGTTTTTACTTTTATAGCATTTATATATTTTCAGTGATAAAGCCTTATTATCACTTTTACTAACATGCTGTTCTTCTCCAGACTGGTCCCCTAATATTTTTTTTTTCAACAGATTGAGTTGAGATTTACTGTGGTAACTCAGAATATACTCTTGTCACAGAACTATGTAATTCCCATTCTTGTTTGAAAGGCTTTACTATGCTCTACTCAGAAGCTTATAACTTAGTAATTATGCACATCAACTCTCATCTTCAGTTCTATCTAATGAGAGCTTATATAAACTAATGTTGCCTGTTACATACTTACCTCATCTTCTGTGTAACTAAATTAATTTAAGAGCCTTTATGATTTATAAATTCATAGAAATTCAATTTGGAGAGCTATTTATTTTTTCCCTCTGTTGTTTAAATCTACACTTCAGTTTATATCATTCTTAATTCATTCAAGTCATATTTATTGACCACTGATTATGAACAGAAGCCTCTGGCAGTCATTCATACAGGATATACATATAGATCCAACATTATTTTGTAGTCCAAGTTCAAAGAGCTTAAAGGATGTTAAGGGCTCTAAAGACATTAAGAAAAGTTTGTAAATAACACACAAGATAAAAAAATTGCAGTGCTATATAGGATTGTTCAGAGAAAGGAAAAATTATTTTTCTCTGGGAGAGGGATAATATAAGGTAGACTTTACTAGGAAGAACCAGTTATAACCTTGACTTTGAAATGCAGATAAGGTCAGATAAATGCAAGTGGGAAAATGCTATCATTAGTGTGGCTTGAAATAAGTGAAGAATATGCAGGCATATGCAGGAATAGGCATATGCAGGAATCTGATCTATCTGTTATTGAATGGAAAGTGCACAGAAATAGAACCGATAAGGTTGATTGGAGTGAAATCACTGGGAGCATTCACTGAAGCATATACATAACATATACTACGTATGTCTACTCAAAGTCATGTATTTTGGATGTCTGCTTTTGCGGTGTTGAATGTAGGCTAGAGGAGGATGTCTAACTTTTTACAGAATCGTGTGTAGCTAATATTAACTTCTGAAAAATTTTTCTTATGAATGCTAATGTCCAGCTTTTTGTCATTGATTCTTTAAACTTTTCCTCTATCATATAAGAGATATGCACTCATTCCTAAAAGAAAGTTTAGATTATACAGGAAAGTAGAAAAATGTTCATCTGTACTCCATCATTGGTGTTGTTGTATTTCTTTCTATATAATATTTATGAAAACATGTTTAAGTAGGATAGAGAATAACAAGAAGTAGGTTAATTTTTATGATCATTAAGATAATTTAAAACTCATAAACCAATGGCTTTCCTATTTCTAATTGTCCTCCTGTGTTCATTTGATTAAACAACTTTAAATTTTTGACTAAAATCTTATTTTTAGTTAAATCAGAAGTATTTGAGGTCATTTGAAAGCAGAATATATTTTTCACTTTGTAAAAGGTGATTTCAGAAGTATGTTAATTTGCATCTTTAAAACTGCCTAAAATATTGTAGAGATATAAAATTTTCAGTCAGAAATAATTTTGTTTTCTCATTTAACTACAAAGAGATATCGTTATTAGATAGTATTAGCACACACTCAGTTATATCTGCATTTCTTATGTGAAGGAAAAAAAATACTAAAATACCTGATTAAAGCTAGAGATTTTAGAAAAGGTCCTTCCTTTGTTTCATAGATAGTGTTCATGGCTGGCTTGCTTTGTGACAAGTCCTGTCATTACCAGGTAGGGTAAGACATGACCACTGTCTTCAGTACACTCAGTCACAGGGTAGTGACTGTTTTGGGGATCAATATCAGGCCCTCGTATGTGCAAAGCAAAAAGCAATAATGCAGAAGATTTCCACTTAGTAGAGATTGAAATTGTTGAAGGAAGAATACCTAAAGCCCCGGCATTTTTCATATCAAAAGGTTTTGGTGTTAAAATTAGGGGATTAAGAAAATAAAAAATATGTAATCCAGCAAGATCAAACTCTTTGAGAGTATTTGTTCCAGTATCTGGAAAATAAAAGAAGGAGATTTAACTAAAGAGAGAGAAAGGAATAAATGGAGAAAGGCTTCTTGTTACTGTAATGAACCTAAGTAAAAGGAAAATATCTTGTATCTATTCCTAGTAGTGTCTCCATGGAGATTTCTCATATATGACTCATGCCCTGGATTTGTATGTATATGTAATGTTAGTTTTGTAATAAAGTTGAGGTAGAGTTTTTCACTGATAGACCTTGGTCAGTGTAGTGTCTCAATTTGAGATTTAATTTTATTATTATTAGTTTCTTAATACTGTGAGATCATCTAATTTTCACTAAATAGATAAAAGCTTATTGGTGATGATATAGCTAGTATTATTTGGTCCATAAAGTAGGTAGTATAGTAGTTATCTTTGGCCATATTGTGGCTGTAGATGTTGAAGACCCTTATAGAGGAGGAAATCATATATTCTGTAAGCATTAAACAAGTTTAGGTTAACCAGTTTACCATTTTATAGAAGTAATTCTTGTTTTTAAATAATAACATAAAGATCATAGGATATTCAGAATTACAATATAAATGTTGTAATAATTAAAACGTCCTTTCCTGTGTAGGACACCATAGCGGGGCTGGTTTTATTGCTTTGTCACCTTCTTCGTCTAAAGGCAGAAGTGGTGAACGTCTCATATTTTTGAAAGCTTTGAAGACTTCAGTTAAACTGTTTATGTAAGTGTGCAACTTTTAGTCTATAATCCCATTCGGTTTTAAGGTGCTAGAAGTGATGGGATAGAAGTAATGTTTCTATAGATCTGCAGCTGAATGATTTGGTCGTACTGAATTATTTTAGGTGACTATTTTAAGTTTAAATTTTTTTCTTGGCTTTTAGAATGACTAGATAGAAAAGGATGATCTCTTACAGGTACTTTTCACTGAAACTCACAAAATTGCAGACATTCAAGTGCCTCTTACGAGGTGAAATTTATTTCCTCCCATTTTATCTTTATGAAGATGATTGTCTTTTTCTTCTCTCTTTACTGTGCTCCCCCGCCGTCCCCCACAGCACACAGGTGTACACATACTTAAAAATTGCCTCTTTTGTAAAGCCTTTTAGATAGGGTTGGGCCAAACCACATGCTGCAGGCCAGCATCTGCTTTTATTTTAGCATAAACAAAGGAACCATAAGAGTTGGAGGTGGCTGTTTGAAATTAATGGATTAGACTGAAAATGGGTGGGATTTGCAGTTAAAGTGATCACTATTGCACTTCCTCATTTTATTCTTAATGAAAAAATCCAGGATTGTATGTAGGAAAAATTTTAAGTATTAACTCTTCTACTTTCATTAGAGTGATTGAAGTTTATTCTTTTTTACCGTCTACGCTGAGACCTGAATATTGGTGTACTTCAGATTTAAAGTATATTTTTATTTGACCCTGCATCTGTCACTTTTTTGGATTCTATAGCTTAGCTGCCTTTGCATGTGCACCCTGAGTTTGTAAGCCATAACTCTGTGGCATTCTAGAGGAGTTGAGTAGTGTGCAGGTAGGTGTATAGTTTTACTACAACTGAAGGTCTGTAATCACGTTGCAGGTTGTTTGCATACAAATAAGTCCTTTTGTTTTTCAGGTTTATGTTAAAGCTGCGCAAGATTTTTCTACAGTATCAATGTCTTTGGTAAGATGATACTGATTTTAATTTAGAATACGTATACCTACACTCACACTTATGTACACACAAACAGGAATATACACACATATATGTACATTTGATTCACTTTATAGTCTGATTTTTAAATTATACCAATACAGTGGGAAAATATAATCATTTTAATATCTTCATAATGTTACGTTGGAGTTATATATTTACTCAGTAATTAATGTATAAATATTCTGTTTGGAATATTTACGGATGCTTTACATAAATTCTACATATGCAAGAAAATTAAAATTAAAGTTTTTCTATATGAGGAAGATGAAATTTGTATTAAACAATAGGCAAATTCATTTCTTTTGCTCTTCACCAGCTTATATTTAAGCAAATTATGTGCTGAGTTATGATTTGACAAATTTTATAACTTTATGAAGTTTTTTATACTTGTGATACATTTTGCCTTTTTAAACTCTGTTTTCATTGTTTCATAAAATTTTGTTATTGCAGTTGGAAGGTTCTTATTTTTAGAGGTGAGCTACTTGTAGCTGAATGAAACTAGAAAGAGGGTAATATATTGATAAAGTTTAATGTTTATGTTCTATCTATGTTTTTAAACCTTTAGTGTGAAAGAGGCAGAGTGTGAGGACTTAATTTGTAGCTGGCAATGAATGTGGGAAATAAATTTTAAATTTTGAGTAGTGTTAATAGTTAAAGTTTTTTTTGTTTGTTTGTTTGTTTTGAGGCAGAGTTTCACTTTGTTGCCCTTGGTAGGGTACCATGGCATCACATAGCTCACAGCAACCTCCAACTCCTGAGCTTAAGCGATTCTCCTGCCTCAGCCTCCAGAGTAGCTAGGACTACAGACACCTGCCACAATGCTATTTTTTGGTTGCAGTTAGGCTGGGCTGGGTTTGAACCCGCCACCCTCGGTATATGGGTCCGGCGCCCTACTCACTGAGCCACAGGCACTGCCCAGTTAAAATTTGTTTTTCAGGCACACTGTAACCAATAGAAGGATCGAAGTACTATTTTACAAATGTTAATTATCCCCGTATATTAGTATTGCCCCCAAACTTTATAGATTAATCAGCTTCAAATATTGATATATCTCAGTACCTGTAAATAAGGCAGAGGTAAATGAAAAAGCCTTTCAACTTGGCAAAAATGATTGTCTCAAAACCTATTCTAAATTAACTAAAGCAGGCACGGATTGATTTAACTTTTCTCCTAACTCTACAATGCTCATTTTGCACATTTTCACATTTTTGAACTGAGTGAATCTTGCATGTGATACCAAGAAAGCTTCTAGTTACTGTTGTTGAGGTTCTTACAATTTTCCTGAAAAATTGCTTTGTTTCTTGAAAATGTATTATTAAATATCTAGTATATTTGAGGACTAGGTTTTTAGGACCTAGGAAATGGAGTATTTTGTTTTCCAGTGGTGGAAGGATTGACCTTTTCAAGTGACTTAGGGAAATCATTTGATCTTATACTATCTTCAGGATTTAAAGGCTTTGACTGACCCAGTTGTGCAATCTAAGGTCCAGTGTCAACTATCCCCGATATTCCTAACAAACTGTCTACCTTTTTTATCTTGTTAGTACACACTAGTCATGCAAGCCTCCATCTTGCTTTTCAAACATATTTGCTTTGCTGAACTTCTTTGCTGTCCTTTAACTATCTTTTCAAAGAGACTTTCTAAGACAGCTCCATTTAAGTCATCTCTCCTCCTTATGGTCTGTTTTTCCATTACTACAGCGGGTGTTTGTTTTGTTCACACATTTATTTTCAGCACCGTGTATGAGGTTGGACAATTTAGTTCACAAACTCACCTTAGAAAAAGTGTTACATGTCTCACTTCTGAATATCACTAGAAAAAGTTCTACATACCTCACTAAACCCAAAAAAGTGCTTTGAAGAGTGGACTAGGTGCTTGTTGGTGCATAGCTCCTCAAGGGGAGGACGTTGAAGGCGACCATAGTGATATTCAGCAAAAAGTATGTGACCCTTCTTCTAGGGCGAGGTTGCAAACTGAACATGGCCCATTGCTGAATGGGTAAAGGGAGGAACAAAAGAGCAAAGAACTTGTGGATTGAATTATGCTGCTATACAGGTACATGCATATACTGGCTGATTTGTATGGAGAGCCAGATTGATAAGTAAGAAGTTGTTGGTTATGAATTAACAAATGGAGTTACTTAGATGACCACATGGTTAGTGTCCTTGAGTCAAGCTGGCCTTCCCCATTTGTCTCTACATTAGGGAAACCCTTGTTAAGGTGGAACGTTAAGTCTACTTATTTTGTCAGCTGAGCACATAGCTTTTCTCTGTTGTTCCATGTGCTTCTGTTCCATCATTATTCTTTCATCAGTGAGCTACAGCTCATTTTTTTATATTGTTTGATGGGACTTCCAAACCTTATTCTTCTTGTGTTTGACCTAAGAGATTAGCCACCTTGAAAAAATCAATTAATTCATGTAGATTTAAGTTTTAAAATTTTAATTTTGAGAGTGATGGGTAACTTGTGGTCTGGGGCTGAGAATAGCAGCCTATAGGTTTTAATACCCTTGGAAGTGTCCTAGACAAAAAAAGGTTTCTAAACTTACAAGCTTCTAAAAATGTCTCATTATTACCTTTTTTCTTTTAGTAATACTTTCTTAGGTCTTTGGATTTAAAGATACACATATAAAAAAAGTATTTTTTATTTTCAGTAATGGCTTCAGATTTTATACTAATTGCTGTTATTTTAATACACATGCTCCTTCTTTTACAATGGGGTTGTTGTAAGTCAAAAATATCATAAGTTGAAAATGCATTTAAGACCCAATAAGCCCATCTTAATATCAGGAAGTCATATGTTGAACTGTTGTAAGTCAGGGACTGTCTAGATCCTGCTTTCTGCTTTTTTATTGAAGATGTACTATTTCAGTTAGATTATAGGTTAGTTATGCTTTTATGGGCTGGTATGCAAGGTATGCCATTTATAAACAAAAGTTTCTTCTAAGGAAAACTAGTTGTCCTATATAGTAACCTTTATAGTCCATTCATTGCCTTATTTTTAGGCATAGCCTCTTTTAGACACTTACAAGGATTAACTGTAGTTATATGTATTTGCTGATTTTATAAATACAATCATAACATGATCTTCAAACATACATACTTAATGTATTCATTGTCTTCTCTTTCTTTAGGTCCCATCAACAAACTATATATATACACCCCTGAATCAACTTAAGGAGGGTACAATTGCAAATGTCTATGGTGTTGTGACATTTTTTAAGCCTCCATACCTAAGCAAAGGAACTGGTGGGTATTAAAATTCTTGGAATTTTTATAGACTAAAACTGCAGTATTAGTTTCAGATGCACAGTTTTTTCAGTACCTTAGAGTAGAAGCTCAGTTCTGATTTCTACTTACTAAGCAACACTGATACATATCCTTTGGCTGTTTTAACTTATAAAATAAATATGTTTTTTGATTCTAGAATCTCGTTAAAGACAGTGAGAATAAGGAATAAGGAAAATGATATCAAACAGCAACACAAAATGATGTGAAAGTATAAAATTTTCTGGTAAAGATAAATATATAAACAAATATGGAATCCTGCAATACTGTAAAAGTGATAGCTAAATCACATTTAGTTCTGGTATAGAAGTTGAAAGAGAAACGTATAAAAAATGAGTATAACTATCCATATTTGTGGATACACAGCATAAAGAGACATAAATGGTATCATCAGTAACATAAAATGTTGTGGGCAGAAGTATGAATGTAGAGTTTTTATGTAGTTGAAGTTAAAATGTTGTCAGCTTAAAATAGACCGCTATATTTTGTTAAACCCAATGGTAGCCACAAGAAAATACATATAGAAAATACACAGAGGAAAATGTGGAGGGGATCAAACATGTCATTACAGAAATTAGCCCAACACAAAGGAAGATAGCAAGAAAGGAAAACAGGGACAGAGGAGCAGCAGGACTAATAGAAAACAATTAACTAAATGGCAGCCATAAGTTCTTCCTGATCAGTTATTACTGTAATTATAAATGGATTAAATCCCTCAATCAAAAAAATTATAGGATAGCTGAGTAAATTAAATTAAAAAAAAAGCAAGATCCAGCTATATCCTGTCTATAAATACTCATTCTAAATGCAGGCTGATAGTGAAAGAATAGAAAAAGACACTCTGTTTAAACAGTAACCAAGAGACCTGAGGAGGCTGTTTAAATCAGACACAATAGACTTCAAGTCAAAGATAAAGGACATTATATATTGATAAAAACGGTCAATTCACCAAGAAAATATAACAGTCATGTATGAAACCAATATCTGAGCACCTAGTCTGAAACAAACATTGTAGAACTGAAAGGAGAAATAGGCAATTACTAAATTATAGTAGGACTTTTCATTATACCACTTTCAGAAAGGAATAGACCATCCAGACAGAAGATCAATAAGGAAACAAAGAACTTAACACTGTAGACCAGATGTACCTAACAAACATGCACAGAATTTTCTACCAACTGGAGAAGAGTACACATTCCTCTCAAGTGCACATTCTCCAGGGTAGATAACATGTTAGGTTACAAAACAAGTTGACAAATTTAAGAATATTAAATCATACCAAGTATCTTTTCCAATCACAGTAGAATGTGATCTTCCTACAAATCAATTATAGGAAGAAAATTGGAAAATTCATAAATGTATGGATATTAAACAATACACTCTTGAATAACCATTAAGTCAAAAAAGAAATCATAAAAGAAAGTAGAAAATATTTATTGAGACAGCATACTGAAACTTAAGGCATTCATCATAGCAGTTGTAAGAGGGAGCTTTATAGTATTAAGTAAGTGTATACATTAAAAAAAGGGGATGATCTTAAGAAAACTAACATTACACTTTAAGAAATTACAAAACAAAGAACAAATAATCATAAAGTGAGCAGAAGAAAGAAAATAGTAAAGGGCAGAACAGAAATAAATGAAATAAAGAATAATAAAACATAGGAAAAAAATTAAAGAAATTAAGTTTTTTTTAAAGATAAGATTGATAGGTTTTTTTGCTAGACTAAGAATGGGAACGGAATACTCAAAGTCATAAATGAAATAGGAAACATACCTCATTCCATAGAAATTCAAAGGATTATAAGAGACTATGAGCAATTAGACACAATATATTGGGTATCCTATAAGAAATTCATAATTTTCTAGAAACATAAACCCCACTAGTACTGAATCATGAAGAAATACAAAGTCTGAACAGGAAGGAGATTGAATTAGTAATCAAAAATACCTCCTCCCAAAGGGAGAAAGTCCAAGACCACATGGCTTCATTGGTGAATTTTACCAAATATTTAAAGAAGAATTAGTGCCAATATTTTTTTCAGGCTTTTCCAAAAAATTGAAGAGGAAATACTCATTTTATGAGATCAAGTTTACCTTGATACCAAAACCAGAGACTAAAAATATAGAAAATGTCTATGTCAGTATCTCCAATGAAGTTAGATGCAGAAATTCTCAGTACCATCCTAGCTAAACAAATTCAGTGGAACATTAAAAGGTCATGCACCATGACTGAGTAGGATTTATCCTTGGCATTTAAGGAGTTCAACATATGAAATCAGTTAATGTTTTATGCTACCTCAGTGAAAGATAATAACCACGTTATTATCTTGAGATGCAGAAAAAGCATTTGACAAAATTCAACACCTTTTTATGATAAAAGCATTCAGTAACCTACAGATAGAAGGAAGCTATCTCAATTTATTAAAAGCCATATATGAAAAGATCACAATTAATAATACTCAGTCAAAAGGTGAAAGCTTTCCTGTAGGACCAGGATGAAGGCAAGGTTGCCCACTTTTGCCACTTCAACATAGTTCTGGAAGTCTTAACCCAGAGCAGGTAGGCAAGAAAAAGAAATTAAAAGGCATCCAAATTGGAAAGGATGAAGTAAAATTTTGTGAAAGACGACATGACCCTGTAAGTAGAAAGCCTTAAGTATTCTGTAGAAAAGCTGTTAGAACTAAGACATGAATTCAGTAAAGTTATACAATACAATGTTAGCATATAAAAATCAGTTGTGGTTTTATGCAATACTAGTGAAAAATTTGAGAAGGAAACGAAAGCAGTCCTATGTAGGAAGGATAAAAACTATAAAATTTTTAGAAAGAGCCTTATCAAAGGAGGTCAAAGACTTAAGCACTGAAAAATATAAGATGTTGCTGAAAAAATTAAAACACAAATAAATGGAATGACATTTGTATTTGTGGATCGGAAGACTTAATGTAGGCATATCTCAGGGATACTGAGCGTTTGCTACTGGTCACCACAAAACAATGAGTCAAATGATTTTTTTTGTGTGTGGAAAAGTTATGTTTGAACTATACCATAGTCCGTTAGGTGAACAGTAGAATTAGTGTCTTAAAAAACAGTCTACATACCTTAATTTAACAATATTTTATTGCTGACAAATGCTACCAATCATCTGAGCTTTCGTGAATCATCCTTTTGCTGGGGGTAGGGTCTTGCCTCTTGTGTTGATGGCTACTGACCAGTCAGGGTGGTGGTTGCTGCAAATTGAGGTAGCTGTGACAGTTTCTTAAATATGACAAAAAAAGTTTGCTATGTGGATTGATTCTTCCTTTTACAAAAGATTTCTCTGTAGCATGCGATGCCATTTATAGCCTTTTATCCATGGTAGAATGTCTTTCAGAATTGGAATCAATCCTCTAAAACCCTGCTACTGCTTTATCAACTAAGTGTAAGTAGTGTTCTAAATCCTTTGTTGTTATTTCAACCATGTTCCAAGCATCTTCAGCAAGAGTAGACTCTGTCTACAGAAAACTGTCTCTGCTCACTTTAAGGAAGCAAGTCCTCCTCAGTTCAAGTTCTATCGTGGATTGCAGAAGTTGAGGCGCAGCACACTTCTAGTTCTCTTGCTGTTTTCACCATATCTTCAGTGACTTCACTGAAGTCTTGAACCCTCAAGTCCATTCATGAGGGTGATTCTTCAACAGTAGTTTTTTCCAAACTGTTAAAGTAGATATTTTGACCTTCTCTTGAATCACAGATGTTCTCAATGGCATGTAAAATGGAAAATTCTTTCCAGAATATTTTCAGTTTACTTTGCCCAGATCTGTTAGAAGATTCACTGTCTTATGGCAACTATACCCTTATAAAATGTATTTATTAAAAAATAAAACTTGAAACTTGAAATTATTCCTTGATCCATAGTAGAGAATGGATATTGCGTTGGCAGGCATGAAAACAAGGGAAACGGCATTAATCTCATATATCACCATCAGAACCCTTGGGTGACGAGGTGTATTGTCAATGAGCAGTAATATTTGAAAGAAGTGCTTTTTGCTGAGTAGTAGGTTTCAACAGCTGGCTACAAATATAGAACAAACTATGGTGCAAATAGGTATGCTGTAATCCAGGCTTTGTTTCATTGGTAGAGCACAGACAGGGTAGATTTAGCACAATTGTTAAAGGGCTCTAGGATTTTTAGAATAGTAAATGAGCATTAGCTTCAACTTAAAGTCCACAGCGACATTAGCCCCTAACAAGAAAGTTAGCACTTCCTTTGAAGCTTTGAAGCCAGGTCTTGACTTCTCCTTTCTAGCTTTGGTGGTCATAGAAGGTTATATGTTTTTTCCAATAAAAGACTGATTTTTCTACAGTGAAAATCTGTTGTTTTGTGTAGTCCCCTTCATCAGCATTCTTAGCTAGATGTTCTGGATAACTTGCAGCTTCTACATCAACACTTAATGCTTCACCTTGGACTTTTATGCTATGGAGATGGCTTTTCCCCCTAAATCCTGTAAGCCAACCTCTGCTAGCTTCAGACTTTTCTTCTGCAGCCTCCTCACCTTTCTAGCCTTCATAGAATTGAAGAAAATTAGGACTTTGCTCTGGATCAGGCTTTGGCTTAAGTCAGTGTTTTTCAACAGTTTTATCTCACTTGAGCCCATAGTTAAACTTCTGTAGCACACTCAAATTATGTTGATAAAAAAAGAGTAAAAAAAGGATACAATTACTGTACTTTAAACTAATCTCAACAGTAATTTAATTAATAACCTTTAAAATTTTTGTGGCCCACCGAAGATCCTCTCAAGGCACACCAAGGTGTTGCAGCACACTGGTTGAAAATCACTGGCTTAATACTGTGGCTAATTTGATCTTCCATCCAGACCACTAAAATTTTTTCCATGCCAGAAATAAGACTCTTCCACTTTCTTATCGTTTGTTTTCACTGGACTATCGCTTTCAATTTCCTTAAAGAACTTTTTCTTTGCATTC